TGACAGATAAGATTGGTCGACGCACAGAGAAGAGATGGGGAGTCATCTTCAAGTGCATGCCCACATGTGCCATACACTTGAATTTGCTGGAGAGCTTAGACACAGATGCATTCCTGATGGCCTTTCGCCGTTTCACCTCCCTAAGGGGTAAACCATATGAAATCCTGTCTGACTGCGGGACCAACTTCAAGGGTGCAGAAGCAGAACTCCGAACTGCCTTTTCTTCCATGGCTCCAGATCTAAGCCAACAGCTTTCCAAACAAAAGGTGCGATTCCAGTTTAACTCGCCAAATGCTCCCCACTTCGGCGGCTCCTGGGAGAGAGAGGTGAAGTCGGTCAAGGCTGGACTCAGAGCTGCTTTGGGAGACCAGTCGGTCACAGAACCAGTACTCCGAACTGTCTTAGCTGAAGTCGAGGGGATTCTCAACTCAAAACCCTTGGGTTACGTCTCTTCAGATGCTGCTGACGTTAATCCGATTACCCCAAACATGCTTCTGATGGGGCGGCTAGATCCTAACCTTCCACAGGTCATCTACACCTCCAAAGAATCCATGGGATGACGACGATGGTGCCATAGTCAGGTGCTCGCTGACCAGTTCTGGGCTCACTTCATAAAATCCTACCTTCCCAGTCTACAGAGTCGGCAAAAGTGGCAGACTGAATCTAGAGACCTGGCCTGTGGAGACAGGAGTCATGGTCGTCGACCCCCAGCTGGTTAGAGCTCATTGGCCAGTAGGGAAGATATGTGAGACACATCCTGGAACTGATGGATGTGTGAGAGTGGCCAAGGTCCGAGTCCGTGACAAAGTGTACACCAGACCAGTCGCCCACCTGATCCGTCTGCCAGAATGCAAGGACAAGGATAACTGCCGGTCTGAGGACCATCCACAAACTGAACACTAACTTAAGACTTTCTTGGTTTCACATTTAGTACCCAAATGTGGGGGTGGCCGTAAGAAAGTCCCACACTATCGACTGACCGCGCAAGAGTTGGTAGGGTGCCCTCAGTAGTTTGCTCATTCTCGCACCGTACATTCCGTTCTAAAGTCAGGTTTACCAAGCACATTTCCAATCAGAATACCTCCAAATTTGCCCTTATCGTGCGTTACTGACAATTGTGAGTACAGCCATATGTTCTTGAGTGTTTATAGTATAAGATCATATAGTGATTCTTGTGTTAGTATGTAAAATAGAGGAGTTTAGAGTACAAACCTTAGCCATAATCAGGGACAATTGTTGCAACGTTATATGTACAATTATGTTGTCGTCTAGTGGGC